TATTTCCTGTTCACCACAATGTTCTGTTAGACCAATCTTTGATGTGTCTAATATGTCTAGATTAGCTTGATGAGGTAATTATTTATTTTATGTAACACCATCAGCATATATGGTACCTTGCAGAACAACAGAAGCTTCGGCGGGAGGGCAGGGTAGAAATTTAATGAATGAATAAATTAATTAAATAAATAAATAAAAGCAGTCCCTACTCCTACTGTCTAAATGTCAGCAGTGCAGGGAGATGGTAGAAAGGGGAGGTAACAAGGTATCAGTGTGATCCAGTGAGGCTGCATGTTGTTATTTCAGTCCAGAAACAGAACGGGATTTAAGCCACTGAATTCAGTTGGGTCTTCCTATATAGTTGGCATAATCAGGATTGCAGCCTTAGGTTTATCTCACATATGGCTTTTCAACTAAATGTTGTGGGTAAAAATGGGCTAGGGTTGGGGAAGCAGCGCTGGGAGAACCTGGAGAGGTGATATTTATGTTTAAATTCTCTAATGAGCCATTAGAAAAGCCCCAAATTTCTCTACCTGATAAGCATTTCTCTCATTCACAGTTGAGAGTCGAGTTCGTCCATTAGTGCTGGTCGTGAAGAAGTGGGCGAGCTTTCGGGGCATAAATGATGCTAGTCGAGGCACTTTAAGCAGCTATAGTCTTGTGTTGATGGTTTTGCACTATTTACAAAGTAAGTATTTGTTCAGCTTTTGAAATGCTTTTTTTTAATCCCCCCCCCCCAACGGCTATGGAGACGGCACTGATGACGGCCCCCAAGTAGCCCTGGATGAACTTGGACGTTGGGGAAGGCTGCAGAAAGAAAAGGAAAAGGTCAATCCAAAAATGTAAGTTCAGCTCAGAATTAAAAGTTATTAGGAGCCGGGGGGAAGCTCTGCCCTGGATCAGCTTCCAGGCAGCAAAATCTTTTTTTTAAACCCCCCCCCCCCTACTTTAGCAGCTGTTTTAGAACTGTAAGAACATCTCTCAGTAGAGGAAGCAGATATTTTGTTTCTACTTCTTTCTCAAAGTGCTGCACTCTGTATACTTCTCCGTCTTGGTCTTAAATCTACCTAGGGCTGAACTGAGCTTAACTTTCTTCTGTCATGAGGGAGGATTTTATGAGTTAATCAAATCTGCCTCCATCTTAACATTTGACAGCATTCCTTTTTACATAAAAAAATTGGAGTGTGAGCGTTTGCTTTCTTGCAGTCTCTTAGATACAACTTGAACTGCAGGAAGCAACTTAGAAAAAACAAGGCGAGTCTCAGCTGAGTCTAAACATCTCTGTCAATATTATCATTCTTGTAACTGAAACTGGGTTTTAAAATGGGGTTTGTGAATGTATCTGAGGCTAATGCTGCTTCTATTATTGTTGCATGTTCTAGCACTTATGCAAAGTGTTTTTGAGATTTATTCATTTTCACAAATCCTATGAAGTTGGTTGGAAATTCATTTGCTGCTGAATTTTTAAATGAGCTGATAGGGCAGAAAATGAAATCCTTTTAGAAATGTAATTTTCTTGTGTTGTCCATCCTGTGGTTGCAGAATCTGTCTTTAGAAATTAAATGCCTATGACTTTAAGCTTATTCTGTAAGCCCAGGGGCTATATGAGCATTAACCTTCCTTCAGACAAGTCTCTAAAAGGCATACAGTAATGGTAGAATACAGGTCTCTTTAACAAATGCAACACATAAGTGTCACCCTTCTGATTATAATAGGTTTGCCCAGGGTGCTTCTTGAAGTGTGTCATGGGTTTGGGTGAAAGCATCTTTGGAGAGAGAAAAACTGAGCATTCGAGCATGATTATATCATTAGCCATTTTTTAAATAGCTGAATGTTGTATTCTGAAACTTTGGTAGCCCTATTCTTTAACATGCACACACGCCTCAGCTATTTTGATACTCCATTTTATAGGATGCCCCTATAGATAAAGTCTGTATGGGTAGATGTTTCCAAACTATGGAAGAACAATTGGGTTAGGGTTTCCAGCTCCAAGTTGGGAAATTATTGGAAATTTGAGGGAGGAGCCTTGGGGAGGGTGGGATTTGGGGAGGAAAGGGACTTCAGTGGAGTATAATGCCATAGACTCCACCCTTCAAAACAGCTGTTTTCTCCAGAAGAACTGATCTCTGTCACCTGGAGATCAGTCATAATTTAAGGAAATTCCCCAGGCCCCACCTGGAGAATGGCAACTACATATATCACGGACATTCATCCAAAGGGTGGGATCCAGTCTTTCTGTTTTTGCTGCCTTCCTGATCCTACAGCAGCCCTTGTATTCACACTGTCTTTCCCCTAAGGATTAGGAAACAGCTTATGACATGTGGATCTTCAGCAAAGAAGGGCAAAACTCACATCCTTAGCACCTCTTGTATGTTCTCCATCATGCAAGAGGTTTCTTCTGATTTCCTCCCTCATTCCCATCTTGCTGTATCTCGTCCATGCTGTATTTCACACTGTTGCTGTGAGAATTCCCTTTCCTTTAGTAGTGGATTTTTGGATGAACACCAGAAGCTGCTGGGCAAAGGGGAAGAGGCAAAAGTCTCCATAAAC